GTGACCCTTCTGACACCCCTTCTGACCCCCCCCCCCCAAGTTGAGAAAAGCTGCCTTAGGGCCATCCAATCCAACTCCCTTCACTAGGGCAAGAAAACATAATCAAAGCCCTCCTGGCAAAGAGCCATCCAGCCATAGATATAGGAGCCCCCCGGTGGCGCAGTGGGTTAAACCCCTGTGCCAGCAGGACTAAAGACCGACAGGTCGCAGGTTCGAATCCAGGGAGAGGCGGATGAGCTCCCTCTATCAGCTCCAGCTCCTCATACAGGGACATGAGAGAAGCCTCCCACAAGGATGATATAAACATCAAAATCATCCTGGCATCCCCTGGGCAACGTCCTTGCAATTATCTCACACCAGAAGCGACTTGCAGTTTCTCAAGTCGCTCCTGACACGACAAAAAAAATAGATATAGATAGACATGATTCACACACACACACACACACATGTATATGACAGATATAGTATCATAGATTTGAAAGGGTCTGCTAAAGAAGGAAAATTATATGTTGCATGTTCCAGAGTAGGCAAATCAGACCATCCCTACATCAACACTGACAAAGAAATAACAAGAAATACTGTTTACCTACAAGCATAAAGAAATAACATAGATTAAAAACCAGCACTTTCTCGTTACTTTATTTTCTAGATCACCAGACTGGGCCACAGCAACATGTGGAAAGGGACGGCTAGTACTGTATACAATTGTATAGTAAAATGGTATCAGTTATATAAAATGACAAAATCAAACTTTGGTTGGTTGGATTCATGAATCCAGAAAGCCAACTACAACACAGTTTTGACTAGTTTACAAAAGCATTGCAACATCTGTATCATTTATACATTTTATGCTAAGCAGGGCCAGTCATGGTTAGTACCCGGATGGGAGATTGCCAACAAATACTAGGAGCTGTCAGCTCTATTTTCAGAGGAAGGAATGGGCAAAGTCAGTATCCTTTGCCTAAGGAAATCCTCTGAAAATTATAGGGTTGCTGTAGGTCAGTACGTGACTTGATAGATACACCTATCTATGTTAATTTTATATTGTCATAGGCTAAAGGACACTTTCATATAATCTTCCCAAGGAGGAACATTGATCTTCTGTACAAATCTGAACAAAAATGTGGAAAAAATCCCAGACTAGAAGATGCGACTAGGAACTCGAGTGAATGCTCATTATGAAAAGTAGCATTGTAGTGAGGACAATTAAGCCACAAGGCACTCTTTCTTATCTTTGTAATTAAAATAATTAAAACACTGTTATTATCCTCCCTCTTTGTCCCAGTGCGTTTACAGTAAGCACCATGACATGCTATCTGTTTGGCCTCATAGAAAAGAATAGCTGGACTGTTCATAATTTCCCATTTCGACGAGTGGAGCGTGGAGGGTTTCCTGGCAATCACAGATCAGATGCATTCTGGGTTCACAGAGATTATGGAGACTGCATAGATGAAACGCTGTACAGCCAGCAGAATGAAATTACTGAAGTCCTCTCATCACCAGCTGGAAGCAAATAGTTGCTGGAAAGTGGCGGAGTAGAGCTGGAGTACTTTAGCTTTAATTTAGAAGTTATTTGAAGGGTTGCCATGAATTTCCGACCAACATGTTTTTCTGCTTGAGAAAAAACACCACGTGGTAGCTCTTCTGCCATAGTATCACTTACCAGATCCTGCAAATTAGACTCCAGCAATACATGGAGCGAGAGTTGCCAGATGTACAAGCTGGGTTTAGAAAAGGCAGAGGAACGAGAGACCAAATTGCCAATATCCTCTGGATAATGGAGAAAGGCAGGGAATTTCAGAAAAACATCTATTTTTGTTTTATTGGCTATTCTAAAGCCTTTGACTGTGTGGATCATAATAAATTGTGGCAAGTTCTTGGTGATATGGGCATACCAAATCACCTTGTCTCTCTCCTGAGGAATCTGTATAAGGACCAAGTAGCAACAGTAAGAACTGACCATGGAACTACAGACTGGTTCAAGATTGGGAAAGGCATACGGCAGGGTTGTATCCTCTCACCCAACCTATTCAACTTGTATGCAGAACACATCATGCGACGTGCAGGGCTTGACAAATGCAAAACTGGGATGAAAATTGCTGGAAGAAACGTTAACAACCTTAGATATGCAGATGACACCACTTTGATGGCCAAAAGCGAGGAGGAGCTTGAGGAGCCTTCTAATCAAGGTGAAAGAAGAAAATGCAAAAGCTGGATTGCAGTTAAACATAAAAAACCAAGCTTATGGCAACCAGACTGATTGATAACTGGGAAATAGAGGGGGGAAACGTAGAGTCAGTGACAGACTTTGTATTTCTAGGTGCAAAGATTACTGCAGATGCAGACTACAGCCAGGAAATCAGAAGATGCTTATTTCTTGGGAGGAGAGCAATGTCCAATCTCAATAAAATAGTGAAGAGTAGAGACATCACACTGGCAACGAAGATCCGCATAGTTAAAGCAATGGTATTCCCCATAGTCACCTATGGATGTGAGAGCTGGACCATAGGGAAGGATGAGCGAAGGAAGATAGATGCTTTTTTACTGTGTTGTTGGAGGAAAGTTCTGAGAGTGCTTTGGACCGCCAGAAGATCCAACCAGTCCATACTTCAGGAAATAAAGCTTGACTGGTCATTGGAAGGAAGGATAGTAGAGTCCAAGATGAAATACTTTGGCCACATCATGAGAAGAAATAAAAGCTTAGAGAAGACAATGATGCTCGGGGAAATGGAAGGAAAAAGGAAGAGGGGCTGACCAAGGGCAAGAAGTGACTAGACTGACCTTGAAGGAGTTGGGGGTGGTGACGGCCGACAGGGAGCTCTGGCATGGGCTGGTCCATGAGGTCACGAAGAGTCGGAAATGACTGAATGAATGAACAACAAACCAGTCATGTTATTTTGGCACAAGAGATAGAAAATCTGCCAGATACCTTTTCCTGTTGGTAATAGAGAAGCCACAACAAATAACTATTAACTTCTTCCTTAAGGCACACATATCCAGCTGCCATAGGTCTGGACTTTTCACATAAGTCCTAAAGAAAAGACCCAACGAATCAATGTGATTCCCCAATATGTTGATGCAGACTCATCTTTCCACAGTAGTAGAGTACGTGGGTGTCCTATAATTGGGACTAACCAATTGGATTGAGCTCTAAGGCAGCACTTGAACAAACAAAATGGGTGTGAGGTTGCTCTGTGATCACAGGATGTTTTGCACATGTCTTTAGCAAAAGCAGGGAAAGAAGACCCGCAGAAGGAGCAGAACCTAATATGTATTGGCATTAACTCTGGGAATGATCCCATTGCTGAGTCAGAGCAGCACCAGAGCCCTCTAAATTATATTTTTACAGTAGGTGTACATGAGGTCCAGGTGCAATGTTCTAACTTTCCTGATAGCATGTAGTGCTCTTTGTTTTCTTACCTTTCTTCAAGAAGATGAACCTATGTAAATATTCATGAGGAAAACTATTGTTCTATGCCTTACAAAGAAGACTTAAGTTTGGATTTTTTCTTTTCTAGAACTTGTGGAGGTGGAAGAGGGATAAACTATTCTCTCTCATATTTTCCAATAGTTATATCCATACCTTCTCCATCTCCCAATGTCAAGAATAGGTGGGCTCCAGACCAGAGTGGGCCACACTAGTCTTTCTGGTCTGCCTTCAAAACACTGAGAGACATTGCAAGGAATATTTGAGATGCTTGGAAATGGTGTTACATCACTCATAGATGCTCTAGAGCAGGGATCTTCAAACTTTTTAAACAGAGGGCCAGGTCATAGTCCCTCAAAATGTTGGAGGGCCGGATTATAATTTGAAAAAAAAACATGAATTCCTATGCACACTGCACGTATCTTATTTGTAGTGCAAAAAACACTTAAAAACAATACAATAATTAACATGAACAATTTAAACAAATATAAACTTATTAGTATTTCAATGGGAAGTGTGGGCCTGCTTTTGGCTGGTGAGATAGGATTGATGTTGTTGTTGTGTGCTTTCAAGTTGTTTCAGACTTAGGTTGACCCTGAGCGAGGGCTGAGTAAATGACCTTGGAGGGCCGTATCTGGCCCTCGGGCCTTAGTTTGAGGACCCCTGCTCTAGAGCCTCTGAGGTGGGATGGGAACCTGTGTACTTAAGGGGAGGCAGGTAGCATTTTAATGTGTTTTGGAGCAAAAAAATGGTGTATTTTCAAAAGTGATTGATGGAAGTGTAAAATTCGAAGGGGGTGGCGATGGGGAGCTTGGTGACAGTTGTAGGTCTCAAGGTGCATATTGAACCATCAAAGGACTACCAACAGCTCACAGGATGTAGGGCATCCATCTTTCCAGAGACCAGATAACAACCCAGGGCTGGATTGTTCTTACTTGGCATCAAGTTATCTTTGACTTATGAGGACCATGTAAATGAGAGATTTCTAAGTGACTCTATCCTCAACAGTACTGCTCAGATCTTGCATACTCAGAATTGTGGCTTCCTTGATTAAGTCCATCCATCTGGAATGCAGTGTTTCTCTTTTCCTCTTGCTTTCTATTTTACCAAGCATTATTGATTTTTCTGGTTGGCTATGTCTTCTCATGGTATGACCAAAGAAACACAGTCTCAGTTTATGTAGAATTCAAACATGATTTCTTTTTGGATTCTTCTATCCATAGAACTCTCCTCCAGCACATTTTAGATGACCTGATTTTCTTCCTTTTTTCACTAGCCAGCTTTCACAAGCAAAAGCTACTATATGCCAAGTTTCTGAGGCCTTGTATGGCATTATCAAAACATTGAGAATATAAAATTTGAAATTCATCTCTTCTTTTTTTTGAAAATTTTATGAGCCACTTCATCATTTGAGGATTTAAGGTGGAAGTTGTGTAGCTTGTTTCACTTCAGGTGAGATGGTATCTGAGGAGGGTTTAGGTGCTCTCAATGGGTTGGATGAAAAATAAAATACAAATGTGAATTCATCAGAAATCCTCTTATGTCCTTCTCTCTCCACCTTGGCCACTTTTAGGTGAATGGTCGGGAGCTGTCCCATCTCTCACAGGAGCAGACCCTTGAAGCCCTGAGGTGCTCTAAGGAACCTCTGGTCATCCAGGTGCTACGCCGCAGTCCACGCAGCCGAGGTGGGGGTGGTGAAGGACCCACCCCCCAAGGGGACCCCACAACTCTAGTGGACAGTGGAACACAGACAGATATCACCTTTGAGCACCTACTGGGGATAGGAAGGATGCGGCCACCAAGCCCTCCAGCTGTAACATTGGAACCCTATGGACTGTCAGATCTGTAAGTATTCTTAGGGACCTTTTTCTCACCTTGTTGTTGTGCTTGGTGTCCTTTAATTAATTCTATCCATATAGTTCTTTCCTAATATCCTACCACCAGAGGTTGACTATAGTTGCCCCGAATACCTAGAAATTCCTCTACAGAAAACATTAAAGAAATCTGTGAAAAATTAAATCTGCAAAAGTGGAGGTCTAACTGTACTTGTCACTCTTTGTTCCTTGAACTTGATATGACTAGACTAGTTGTATATGAGGTTGTGTAAAATAAATGTTTCGATCCTCCTGAACTTCAGTGCATTTGTGTGCAAGTGGGACATTTGTGGTCCCGCTGGTGGCAAAGGCACATGTGATCTAATTGTCTTGTCTCTTCTATTGCTCCCAGCCCCACAATTGGACATGAATATTATGACCCTGTGGAATTCATGGAAGGTGCTCCAGAGACTGAGAGGGCAGAAGAGCTGGAGTATGAGGTGAGAATGTGATAGAGGTGGAACCAAGTTCTTTTTACCACCTTTCTCGCCCTAGGTAACTTGGCCCAGCCCTACTGTTAGGGAGACTGAGGGCACTGGCTGCCATAAAAGGGGAGTATATGGATCAGTCATTCAGTAGCATATAGTGTTTATGCGACATATTAAGCTATGAACCATTTACTCTCATTTTTTGCGAAAACTTGGGAGAAAATAGGAGGTGTCAAAAGAATGGAAAGGGCAAACATTGTCCCTCTTTTCAGAGAAGTAAAAATAAAAGACCTAGGAAACCACAGACCACTCAGTTTGACCTTGATACACGGAAAAATATTAGAAGAGATTATACAGAAATCTGTTTGTAAGTATCTAGATGACAATGCAGTGACCGCAAGGAGCCAGCTTGAGTTCATCAAGAATAAATGTTGCCAAATTCTGGATTTCAGCAAATTATTTGATAAAGTCTCCTAAAATAGTTTGATTAGGAAACTGATTAAATTTTGAATAGATGGGAACATTACCAAGTGGATTCATAATTGGTCAAAAAAACCATGCTCAAAGAGTCATCATCAATGGGTGCACTTCAAAATGGAAGGAGGTCTCAAGTGGAGTGTGTGTGTGTTCATAAACACACCCTATAAAAAAGGTATCTCAACACAACACAATGGTCATTCCTGTGGTAATCATTATTCCAAATGCAATATTTCAAATGTGTCTATTGACCACAGAAAAACAAAAACAAAGGTAAATTCTGAGATGCCTCACAGTTTCATTGAATATGAGTGGCAAAAATAGATATAAGACATGATTCACATATGTATGCAATTTGTGACTACTGGATTCCATTGTGAAAAGCATTACACAAAATGACTCCCAAATCAATGGTTTCATCTACCCATGCCCCATGAAGTATGTCTTCAAAAAGTAGGCATTTTAATGTAATCCAGTGCAACTTTATGGTATTCTTAGCCCGGACATCCTTCATTTCAGTAGCTTTTGCTATCATCCATCATTACACATATCCAAACAAAGTCCTGGAACATTTCCTTTGTGGATACAGGAATCATACTGAATAGGAAAAGATACAAAACTATGATGGGCCATCATTTCTAGTCATCAGTTGATGTGGCTGTAAACACATGATAGTTTTACATGTGTAAATTGGTTCCAAACAACAATCTCAGTTTTGGTTTTGAACATTATTTGACAGATAAAGCAAGGTGAAAAATGCTAACCTCTCCAGACTATCCCAGCTATTTGCCTTCATTTGTTAGGTGTGCAAAGTTATGAAAAGTTGGAAAAACAAAACAGATCAAAACACACAAAGTGTGTTTTAACTGTGAATTTCTCAATTGGGAGAGAGGGTTGACATTAAAAGAACATGCTAAAAGCTTCTTCAAACTATATCTAAGACAAAAATAATCCAGATTCTGTGAGTTGTTGTTCAAAAGCATAACTTCTCCAGTGCAGCAATGGATCATAATGATAATAAGTGTAACCTTTGTCTGATGCTTTTCTCTCTCCCGCAGGAGGTGGAGTTGTACAAAGCCAGTCACCGGGACAAGCTGGGCCTGATGGTTTGTTACCGAACTGATGATGAGGACGATGTAGGCATCTACGTTGGAGAGGTGGGGGAGGGGGCAGCCCTTGGCGGGGTGAGATGTGTATGGCCTGGGGAGGCCAAGGTAGGCAAGTGGGTGAGCGGGGTTGAAGGAGAAAACTACATGCTGGGATTCAAGCTTTATGTAGCAGGGAAAGCTGAGCTCCTTGCTTTTTCTTTGTTTGTTTTTTCCTGGAGTTGGGTTAGTTACATCATACAGTCATGGAGTTGGAAAAGACCACCAGGGCTATCTAGTCCAACTATTTCAGCCTCTGCTTATAATAATAATAATAATAATAATAATAATAATAATAATAATAATCCTTTATCTATACCCCGCTACCATCTCCCGAAGGACTCGGTGTGGCTTACAAGAGGCCAAGCCCAAGTACATTAATAAAAACAACAACAGCAATACAGACAATAAATAAACTCATAAACAAAGCAATAAACAGTAACAATAACACCACAATGCATTAAAAACCTATGGCACGGCCAATGTAATAATTAAAATTTTAAAAAATGCTGGGCATGACCAGGTGACATATAACTAGGATAGGTATTTGGAGAGAGATAAAGCGAGCAGGCAATCCTAGATCATTAGTAAAGTGCAATTAGGGACATGTTGCTTAGGGTTTCCTTATTCTGGGAAGGCACACTGGAACAACCACGTTTTCAGGCTCCTTTTAAAGACTGCCAGAGTTGTGGCATCCCTAATGTTCTTGGGGAGCAAGTTCCAGAGTCGAGGAGCCACCACTGAGAAGGCCCTGTCCCTCATCCCCACCAATTGCACTTGCGATAGAAGTGGGATCGCGAGTAGGGCCTCTCCAGATGAACGAAGATATCGTGTGGGTTTGCACACAGAGATGCGGTCATGCAAGTAGGCGGGTCCCAAACCATATAGAGCTTTGTAGGTAAGCGCCTGCACCTTGAATTGGGACCGTAAAATGAACGGCAGCCAATGGAGCTCCTTAAACAGGAGGGTTGACCTCTCCCTGTAAGGAGCACCAGTTAATCTGGCCGCCGCCCGTTGGACCAGTTGAAATTTCTGGGCCGTTTTCAAGGGTAGCCCCATGTAGAGTGCATTACAGTAATCCAATCTGCTTATAAACCTTCAGAGAAGGAGACTCCATCAGATTCTAGAGGCAGCATATGCCACTGCCAAACAGCTCATATCATCAGGACATTCTTCTTAATACGAGTATCTAAGTGTAGTTTGAATCTGTCAGTTCCAGATCTGGTTGCACATTACTCCAGGGATCTTCTGGTCAAACTGAAGGTGGAGCAGGTGTGGGAGTAGTAGTCCAGCAAAATAGGTCTCCATTTTCTCAAAGAGAATAGCTAAATTGTTATTACTGCAGGCTCAAATTTAAAGGATGAATAGGAAGAAGGGAACATTTTTGAGTGTTTTGTTTAAACAGATGAGGTAAAACTTGAGAAAAACATCTGAACAGAGCAAAACAGAAATGAAGGTTTTTCTCCCAAAGAAAATAGCAGCTTCTGGTGGAAGCAAAATGAGTTAAAGGGGGAGAGGGTATATGACATGTTTCCTCTCCCCATCCTCAAGTGGCGCAGTGGGTTAAACCCCTGTGCTGGCAGGACTGAAAACCAACAGGTCGCAGGTTTGAATCCGTGGAGAGGCGGATGAGCTCCCTCTGTCAGCTCCAGCTCCTCATGCGGGGACATGAGAGAAGCCTCCCACAAGGATAATAAAACATCAAATCATCCGGGCGTCCCCTGGGCAACGTCCTTACAGACAGTCAATTCTCTCACACCAGAAGCGACTTGCAGTTTCTCAGGTCACTCCTGACACGACAAAAAAAAAAATCCTCAAGTGTCAGACTCCTGCCCTAACTCTACTATAGAGATAGTGTTGACATTATTAAAACAGTATTATTGGCATTCACAAAGCTAATATCAGTTCTAGTTTAGATGCCAAAATTCCATAGATTTTCCTTTAAACGTAACTCTGGGAGCTATGCCCATAATTCCAGCCGTTTTGAGCTCAAAAATGAGAATAAAGCATTCTTCAAATACCCCTTAAATTTGTTGCAGTGGCACCTCTTATGAGCATTCTGAAATTTATAGTTATTGAGGAGATAAGTAGAAAGCAGGGAATTCACGCACAAAGCTTCAGATCACTCCAGAAAACAGAGTCAGGCTATGAAACCTGTTGTGTGCCTGCTTGAAGACATCCATTTGGGAACAGTTTGCCCAATCATCTTGCTTCCCCAGATGATTTCAGTGCATTTGGAGAAGGAGCACTTTTGTAACTGACGGAGCTACTTTTCTGTTGATTCAGTACCAATTCATTTTCAAAACAAGGTTCCCTGGCCTGATACAAAAACCATGACACTGAATGAAACAGAGAGCCACATTCAGAATATGTGCCAGCTACCCATTAGGGAGAAAACTAACGGACAAGAGGAAAAGGAGGTTTCTCCCACAGTGTCAGATCTCAAGCTGTGTGACCCTGGTAGGCACAGAGTAGTTCACATATAACAAAGGGGGCTGTCACATCATTCCCTTAAACCTTAGCATAGTACAGAGTCCGGCTTGCCTTGAATTGAGGCAGAGAAATAATATTAGGTCTGGTACATGCTATTATTAGTGCAATCATACTAGTTAGCATCTAAACTACACAGTTATACATTTTGATACCAGATTAACTGCTCTGGCTCCATGCTATGAAATTCTAGTGTTGTACTTTGGTGACACAATTGAACTCTCTGCCCAGGGGCTCAAATACTGTTTAGTTCAGGAAGATGGTAGACTACTGCTTTAAGGGAAAGGGTTCTAAGTACAGGTATGGCTCAGTTAACTAAATAGATGTGTTCCAGAGCATTATTTAAGAAAAAATTACAGAGGCAGAAAAACATGGAAAGAATAGGGATAGGTCCCTACACTACAGACAAATGATAGCAGTTCAACATGTTTCGGTCACATTTTTATTAAACACTAACATATACATCAGTGAAATGCTGCAACCAGATTAGTTAAATCTTGAATAATAATCAAAAGCATCTTGAAGCTTTTGGAGAAACTCAAGGGGTTCTTCCAAAATACATCTATGTGTGAATTTTTCTTTCACCAGCCTTAACCTTTCTTATGACCTCCATTTTTATGACCAAACATTTATGATTATTTTTGTTGTTATTTTTAATATGCTGGAGTTATCTGTTGAGGTAGGGCAATTTACTCTCATCTTTCTCTCTGTGTTTTGTTATTCATGCATACTCTGCAAAGGATTTGGAGGAAACTTATATACAGGCTCACAAAACCACAGTAGGATCTGCCACAGCAATCTTATCCAAAGATACTCCCTGGAGCCATTCCCCGAACCAGCAGAAAAAAAATCGCGGTAGCCAGCAGGCATAAATATAGTGTCAGTGCTTGCCATGGAGGGGAAAAATAATTGCTCTTTCCCCATAGCAGACAGCCCAAGAATCACTGAGCAACAGTAGTAATCCATTCTTTTCCAGCTCAAGCTTTATTGCATTGTTTACTATAGACATAGGCTGTACAAAACACCAAAAGTCTTTGGATCTCCATCATCAGCCTTTCCTTAATGATGCTGCAAAAATACTTTCAGGTATATAGCGGACGAGGAGTAAAGGAGGCTAGGTGGTAAAAAAAAAAGACTGTAAAAATGAGCTTCACATTTTTTAAACTAAGGTACAACTATTGTGTAGATCACAAAAAAACCAAATCCCAGGATTCAATTTGATGCATCCACAATTATGGTGGTTTCAAAATGACATCAAAACTGTTGTGTAGATACATTCAATATTGTTGATGGGAACCTTCAAAGCTCCTGCTCTCATACTCTACACTGCAGTGGTTCTCAACCTGTGGGTCCCCAGATGTTTTGGCCTACAACTCCCAGAAATCCCAGCTAGTTTATCAGCTGTTAGGATTTCTGGGAGTTGAAGGCCAAAACATCTGGGGACCCACAGGTTGAGAACCACTGCCTACAGATTTTTATTCTTGAAAGTAAACAGTCAGTGAAACAAGACTGTGCCCTCCATAGATAGGGCACATGGGCACCTAGTAATATGTGTTGACATCTTTGCCCATCATTCAGACGTTAAGAGAGACTCCAAATATTGATTCTTAAACTGCTCTTCTGATGATAATATTACTTTTCTAAAATCCCAGGTTAACCCTAACAGTATTGCTGCCAAGGATGGTCGGATCAGGGAAGGAGATCGCATTGTCCAGGTAAAATGGGTGGCTGTGGTTACTGGGTAGGCTGTCAGGGGGTGATGTGTTATTTTCTGTGAGTTTGACATTTTTTTTTACATTTCTTCCATTCCTAGATCAATGGCATGGAGGTACAAAATCGAGAGGAAGCTGTAGCAATTCTCACTCAGGAGGAGAGGACAAACATATCACTATTGTTGGCTAGACCGGAGACTGAGGTGAGAGGACTGAAGTGCAGTAGTTACATGGTTCAACCCTTGGTCTCCCCAGATATGTCTGGAAAAGATTCCTCCGTGAAATCCCAGAGAACTGCTGTTGGACACTGGCAACATGAAGGCATACAAACAGATCAGGCTCTGAGGTTTTCAGTCGAAAACCTGCGATCTAGGGTGTCCCTCCACCCTCCATGATATCATTAAGCATTATGTTTTAGATGCCAACTGCAGTTGCTCACAACTTGTTATTAAAAAGCACTTGTCATTCAAAACAAGTTCAGTTTACTTCCTTTAAAAAAAGCCTTTTTTGGTCTTAAAATGGTTCATAAAAGATAAAAGGAGAAAAATTAAAAGGAAAAAAGTGCCTCTTACAATTCTGAGAGGATGGTATGAGAGAGGGAAAGAGAGGGATAAAGAATTATTAGGGCAGGATGTAGCAGGAGGCTCAGCCACTTCATCTTCCCTAATGCCTTGGAGCAGGTAGTGCTAGACTTTCTTTCTCAGATTTACAAGTGCTTTCTCTCCATCGTAATCCCCCCCCCCCCCCAATCTTGGTGATGAATGAATAACCTGGAGTGTATTGTCGAAGGCTTTCACTAGGGTGATGTGTGGTTTTTGAGCCACATGGTCATGTTTTACCAGAATTTTCTCCTGATGTTTCACCTGCATCTGTGGCTGGCGTCCTGAAAATGCCAGCCACAGATGCAGGTGAAACGTCAGGAGAAAATGCTGCTAGAACACGGCCATACAGCCTGGAAACCACACAGCACCTCAACCTGGAGAGTTTTTAGAATGCATTGTGTAGCTTTTCAGAGTCTCTGTCTCTCTCACACACATCTTACTACATTTTCTGTTGTTTTAAACAATTCAGAAATTACAGTGGAGCTTTCTTCCATGTCCTGATTTTTTTAAAAAAATCTGTGTTTGCAGCAGTACAATAAAATATAGATACTTCTTCCTGAATAGCAATTATATGTAAGAAATCCACTATTCATTTGCCTATAAAGCCAGTGTAGCATAAGTACCCTTCTGGTGACTTGGGTGAGTCACTCTCTCGCAGACAAAAGCTATTATTATCATCATTATCATTATTATTATATTTATTTATACCCTGCTTTATCTTTTCCAAAGGAGACTCAAAGCAGCTTAACATAAAAGCATAAGCATACAATTTAAAATATACAAATATGCAAACATTAAGACAGAATGAAAAAAATCAGTATTCTACAAATCACAGTTAAAATCCATTAAAACATATTCAGTTTCCTCTTCTGAACAAAACCTCTTCTGAACCAAATCTCCTATGATAACCCTGTGACATGTTCACCTCAGGGTTGCCATAAATCAGACATGTCAGGACTATAGTGAGATTATTTGGAAACAAATAGGAAGGAACCTTTGCATTTAAGCTGTAACACTTCTGGCCCTTGCCAACTATCATCACTCTTGCAGTTGTCAAAGCGCTGGAAGGACAGTGACCGTGAGGATTTCCTAGATGACTTTGGTTCAGATCACGAAGCTGGAACAAAACCTCGGCGGCTTCTTTCGCCACCAAGTCAGCAGGTATGTGGCTTAGGAGAGGGAAGTGGGGAGTCAATGGTGTTATTAATACAGGACAGGATTGATTTATTGTGAAGCTTTCTACCAGCACAGCATCCCAAGAGCCTACTTTACCAAGTGCACAAAAAAACTGAATGGTTTGCGATGATCTCTCAAGAAGCTGCCACCAAATGTGAGATTTCAGTTTGTACCCCAACTGCTACTTATTTATTTATATCTCACCTTTCTTCCAAGATGGTATTGACCAAATGTGGTGTTTCAACCCTTTATCCCACCATTATTTACAACAAGAGTAGTGCTTTCCACTCCGTTATGCTAGCATCATTGACAGCAAGGATTAATCACAGACAAATGCACATTGTGATGAAATGTGGGATTGTGTCTTTACACTTAACCCACCAAATGTTCACTGCAGTGTGAGGGTTTCCCTTGATCCTCACCTTTGCTGCCTATAAAAACATCGTGTGACATTAAATGCAGTGTCAGCAAAAATTAGGAATTTTACTACAGTTGGCCCTCGACTTAAACTTCTATGTAACTCTATGTAAACTCACAACGCTGCAGTTCCTATAAGTATGACAGGTATTTTGGGAGTTGTAATCCCACACACAAATGGAAAGGACAAGGAAAGCTCTCTCATTGCACTCATTATTATCTATACAAATGCAGTTGCAGCAGTGTGAAAGCTAGAAGCGCAACATGGCTATGGTAGTGGTTCTCAACCTGTGGGTCTCCAGATGTTTTGGACTCCAACTCCCAGAAATCCCAACCAGTTTACCAGCTGTTAGAATTTCTGGGAGTTGAATTTCTGAGGACCCACAGGTTGAGAACCACGTCTCTATGGTGACTGGTTTGCTTTTCTACAAAATTCGTTTGTCTAACACTCTGCCCACCATTTTGAGACACCACTTCAGCATCCATTTTGTGACAGTGGTTGTTGTTGTGTGCCGTCAAGTGGTTTTTGACTTATGGTGACTCTAAGGCAATCCTATTTTTTCAGAATTTATCATGGGATTCACAGGATCCAAATGTGACCCAAACAATTGATGCTTCTACTACGTAGCAGCAACTTTATGTAGTTTCAGCTTTCTGCCATTTTTCACAGCCCAACCTGGTTATTCCAAGGAGTAGAGCAATGGCATTTTCCATGTAAAGCATCTACTTTTCCCTGAGTTATAGCCGTGTCTACAGTCAACAATCCTAGCATCATAATGTTGATTACTACGCTCTTAGCAGTACTAAAATTTGCTTCTGACTCACATTTCCAAAGTTTACAATGAGATGCTGATCCTTGGCCTGCACTTGAGGTGAAAGCAAGCTGCTGGTCATTTCACTCCGAATTTGGTAATAATCTTCTGTGAGCAAGTGAGGCTGACAAATCCCTCATCTTGTTATGCACTTAACCTAAGCTGCTCACTTGCATGGCTTAGCTTACATGTTAGAATAGGGATAGGCAGGCGGTATGCTGGAATTTGCTGGAAGATTAACAGATCATTGAGAGTAGATTGACAAAGATTTCTAAACCCCAGAGATCAATCAGTATAGATCCACTCCAATATTAGGGTTGGTAGATTATCTGGCCAGACAGAGCCAACAAGGTGTAATGGTTTGAATCCTGGACTATGAGATTCTGGAGTCCTGCTTGGCCATGAAACCCACTCAGTGACCTTGGGCAAGTCACTTATTCTCAGCGTCAGAGGAAGACAATGGCAAATATTTTCTAAATAATCCATACCAAGTTATATATTGTGTCTGCATATGTATATATGTGTACACACACACACACAGAGTACATACAATAACTTTCCACTATCAGAAATAATATGTGTACGTGGGTGCAGTGGACACCTTGGAACCTACCATAAATCAGATATCCATTTATTTCTGTACAGTCTCCAAGCCACCCACACATGATGCTAAAGGGATTTTTGGAGGCAAGAAGTGAAATGCTTGATCAGAGAAAAGCTTTTTCCTAAACTGCTGTAGAGAGCCAGTGTGGTGTAGTGGTTTGAGTGTTAGCCTAGGGTGAGTAACTCACTCACAGCATCAGAGAACTACAAAAGAACCTTATAGTCACCATAAATTTGAAATCAGAAGGCACACAACAAAAAGGCACTGTAGCATTCACATTTTGGAAGTGAGAATTAACATATTTTGCCTCAAACAGGAATCAGTTGCTGACAGTAGGTAGTAGCTGCTGGTCACTCAGACTCTGCCCAATTCCAAATCTGTTCCTGTAAAAATTTGATTGCCAAGCAGAAGACTTAAGAGTGGGACATAAGTATTGAGAGGAAATTCTGGATCAAAAGTCTAGGCAGGTGATATATTTTCTCTGAATAGTGCCTTCTTCTTACTCCTCCTCCTAGAATGAGCCTCTACAAGACAAGCCTGCTGGGGATCCGGCCACCCCATTGACCAACAGCCAGGAGCTGGATAGTGGTGTTGGCCGTACTGATGAAAGCACTCGCAATGAGGAGAGTTCAGAGCATGATCTCCTGGGAGATGAAGCACCCAGTGCTGCCAACACCCCGGGGACCCTGCGCAAGTTTGGGCCTAACCTACAGCCCCGTGACTTCCATTACAGCATGGACTCATTGTTGGCAGGGGAGCCCCCAAGTGCCATGGCGACAGACTTGATGCCAGGGCTTACTGATGAAGAGTATGAGCGCTACCGGGAGCTGCTGGAGCTGAAGTGCCACCTGGAGAATGGCAATGACCCAGGCCTGGTGAGTGCACCACTGGATGTCAACCGCAATGAGGTGGCTCTGCTGGAAGAAGAGCTCCGCCACCTGGAGTTCAAGTGCCGGAACATCCTGCGGGCCCAGAAGATGCAGCAGCTCCGGGAGCGCTGCATGAAGGCCTGGCTTCTTGAGGAGGAAGGACTGTATACCTTGGAAGGGGAACCTAAGAAACATGAACTGTCAGACATCACAGAGTTGCCTGAGCGCTCTGACAAGGACAGTACCAGTGCCTACAACACTGGGGAGAGTTGCCGAAGCACCCCTTTGCTGGAGAGCCCCTTGCGCCGCCTGGCTGAGCCCCCCAACCTCAACAGAACAGCTCCTCCTTCCCCACCACAGCCCAAATTCCGGCGGGAAGAGCGGGTACGTCGCAGTCCCAAAGCTGCTGGGGAAGGCAGCCCCTACCTGAGCCGGAGGCAGCGAGAAGAGCCGCCGGCCCCCATCAGCCCTATGAGCCTAGCCAGCATATGCAAGGACTCTCTCGGGGGCAAAGCGGAACCCCGCATGGAGTGGAAAGTGAAAGTGAGAAGTGACGGCACACGCTACGTGGCCAAAAGACCAGTCAGGGACCGGCTCCTCAAAGCCAGGGCCATGAAGATCCGGGAAGAACGCAGCGGCATGACCACAGATGACGACGCAGTTAGTGAGATGAAAATGGGACGCTACTGGAGCAAGGAGGAACGGAAGCAGCACTTGATCCGGGCCCGGGAGCAACGAAAGCGGCGGGAGTTCATGATGCAAAGTCGGCTGGACTGTTTGAGGGAACGAGAAGGTAGCGAAGCCCGAGGGGTGTCTAGCGAAGTTAACATCTTAGCCTTGAGTCACCGGAAAACCATGAAGAAACGGAGTCGCCGCATCCTGGACAACTGGATTACCATTCAAGAGATGCTGGCCCATGGCACCCGTTCGGCTGATGGACGCAGGGTTTACAACCCATTACTGTCTGTCACCACTGTTTGAGTGCATAGGAAGAAACAGAGGGAGCCACAGTGGTGTTTTCTTTTCCTTTATTCATGGTGTGCTGGCGAATGAAAACCAAGACAGGCCAAACAATTCCTCCATGACCAGGATGGCTGTTTTTTGAGAACACACCAGAGAAGCATATTACTACCACCTGAGCTCCATAGGGCTCAGAAGGCCCACCTCTCTGAACCAAAATGTAGAGTGGAACAGAAAGCCCAGCATCCATTCCTGCCTTAAGAACCCGAAAAGGGGAGTGGAGGGCCCTTCTCCCTCCCCCAAGTCTCCAACCCTCAGGAGCTTGCTGTGGGGCAAGATTGACTCCTCCTGATGGGCACATAATCTGTATCAGCGGTGATTGTGCGGGGCAACTCAGCTCACCCATCACTTCTGGAAAAGCTTTTGCTGGATTCACCCCTGCCAATCACATCCTGAAGCACAAGGAACCAGCTGTGGTCTACATACAGTGTGCAGAGCACAAAGAAAGCAAGTGGAGTCCTATCCCATATAGGTCAACAAGGCCAGTGAAGATCTTCCCCATCCCCACCCCAAGTTGAGATGTTGTGACATCTTTCTTTCCTCTTTTTCTTTCTCTCTCTTTTTCTCCTTCTCCTTTCTCTTTTGTGATTGTGGCTCTCAATTTCTTTTCATTACTCTATTTGAAGCTGGAAGTCTGGGCCCTGGAGGCTCATCCCACAAGTGACTGTTCCCTTCCTCCATTCTGCACCATCTGATTGCTTCTATCCCCATTCAAGGGGGAGGGACATTAGCTTAGACTAAGGAGCAGATAGCTTGTGTTAAACCCTGTACCCCAAGGCTGAACTTGCATTGTTAAAATAAAAAAAGATTGTTCTTTTTACTCATTGCAAAACACCCCCATAAAAATTCATGGGGTTTTGTTTCTCAATGGAACTGTGGAAGGCATCTGAGAATAACATTGCATTGGCACAACACTGCCCTACACATACCCTGAGTGAATGTAACATGTTAATGACATATTAAGCAAACAGCACTTCATTAGGAAGATAGAGCAATGCATAACAATGACAGCAGAAGAAATAAGATAATTGAATCATAGAACGGGAAGAGATCTCTTGGGCCATTCAGTCTAACCCCCTGCCAAGAAGCAGGAAAACTGCATTCAAAACACCTCCAACACATGGCCATCCCACCTGTTTAAAAGCCTCCAAAGGAGCCTCCACCACACTGTTTAGCAGAGTTCCACTGTTAGGAAGTCTTCCTAATGTTCAGGCAGAATCTCCTTTCCTGTAGTTTGAAGCCATTGTTTCGTTTCCCAGTATCCAGGGCAGCAGAAAACAAGCTTGCTCCCTCCTCCCTATGACTTCCCCTCAAGTATTTATACATGGCCATCATGTCTCCTCTCAACCTTCTCTTCTGCAGGCTAAACATGCCCAGCTCTTTCAGACACTCCTCATAGGGCTTGTTCTCCAGACCCTTGAGTCTCCCTCCTCTGGACACATTCCAACTTGTCAACATCTCCCTTCAATTACAGTGTCCAGGCAGAACAGAGAGGTAGCATTACTTCCCTGGATCTAGATACTATTTATGCAGGCCAAAATTCCATTGTTTTTTTTAGCTGCCGCATGACATTGTTGATTCATATTTAACTTTTTGTCCATGACAACTCTCAAGATCTTTTTCACATTTACTGCTGAGCCAGGCATCCCCATTCTGTATCTTCACATTTCATTTTTTTTCTGCAGTTTTCACACTAGAGAAAAAATCCACTTTAAATCTGGTTTCTGCCTACTGCAGAATTCTGGGATTTGTAGTTCAGGGAGGAGCCTTTAACAGCCTCACTAAACCACAAACCCCAGAATTCTGCAGGAGGCAAAAACCGGATTTTTTTCCTCTAGTGTGATGAAGTGGAGACTGTGGAGTATCTTGCATTTGTCTCTGTTGAACTTAATTTTGTTAGTTTTGGCCCATCTCTAATTTGTTAAGATCGTTTTGAATTCTTCTGGAGTATTAGCTATCCCTCCCAATTTGGTTTCGTCTGCAAACTTGATGATCATGCCTTCTGACCCTTCATCTAAGTCATTAATAAAGATGTTGAACAGAACATCTTTATTGCACTTCAAAATGCAATACCTCCAAATCACCTCCATGAGGCCTAAGAATATGGTCCAGGATTTCAGAAGTACTACTTACTAAGCAAGTGTTTTTGTTCTGTTTCCTCAACTTCCACATAATGGGGAAGCCCATAACGAAATCTAACAGGGTATGCTTGACAACAGGCGCAGAAAACTTTCAAAGATTGGGGGCTCCACTGAACTTCCCTTAAATCTTAGCAGACTGCGCCACACTCCATTCCATAATGTCATCACTGGGAAACAACAAATTGATTCCCAGGCGCAAAACAGATCAGGGAGGAATTATGATAAAACTGTCCTCATTGGTCTTTAAGGGATGCAAGAGGCATTTTCTCAAACAATATGCAAATGCTGGAGTGGGGGTGGATATCAGAATGGGATTGTAGACTACAAGGCAATCTCTTTGTTTTATATGCAGAGTCAGGAATTCAGTCTGATATTTTCAATCAACGCTAGAATTAATTTCTCAAAATTCTGCAGTTATAATCTGAACAGTCCCGAATCACAACTTGGGTGAAATAAAGGCTTACACCTCAGTGCTTTAAAGCAGCTCAAACTAGCATTCAGGTATCATGGCAAGTGTATATCACAATAAAAACATATATTACATTCATTATATGAAGACCATGACTCTAATAGCAAATACCAGCAATAACACAGTATTATTTAGCATAAAAATCCATTAAGACATAAAACATGGTCCTATTCCTGTTTTGGAGAAAATGTATGTATAGGCATCATTTATTCTTATCTCTGCAGTCTTAGGGATCATTTAAATTATTGTCACACTTTCCATGAACTCTAAAAGCATGGGGGTGGTGGAAGAGCTTCTTGCATTCACGGTTCTCTAAGAATATACAGGCTTTTCTTGAAAGGAATCCATACTACAGTCTCGATGAAAAGAAAAAAGTTCTGCCAGCAATGGTACCCTAGGCAAAGAAAGAGTGTAGAGTATGAATTTGTATTCTGCTTCCAAGGCCTGGTGGCATGTAAGTAGGAATAAATGTCCCTTCAACTCTTCTGTCAAAACATCTATGTCAAATCCAACACCATGTAGATGCATATGGTTGATGGAAATTCAGTAATTGCAACCAGAGACAGTGTTTGCAGGCTGCTTTGGCACCTCACTTTTAAAAAGGCCCATTGCTGGAAAAGAAGAAAATGTGTTTCCTTCTACCTGTCATACACACTCAACACTACCTTGCTTTCCTTATGGCTTAGCTCATCTTTTCTCTAACCTCATTGCGGTTATTTTCCTCCATTTTTTTATTATCACAGCTGTGCAGAAGCTATAAACCAGACTTCAATACTTAAGATTCCCTTGTAGGAACTGTAGGGGCCCAGAAATACTACCAAGTTGTAATAAAAATAGGACTCTACTTATTTCTTCCTGGTATAACAAAACAGCATTAAAAGCTGGATGACTAACATAAAAGGTGGGCAATGCTAACTTTATCATGTTGAGCAGGTCATGTGGGGAAAAAAATCTCTATGGAACAGGCAAGGTCAAGCTTTCATCAAGTGCAGCAGCAGTGCCAACTAAAAAAGATAGAAACAACTTTGGTAAAGCATAAACAAGGATCCATGCCCAACTGATGCAGTGTCTCTTCAGGATCACAGTGTGAGTATGGTATTCAAGTCAAGAGATGCGCTCTCTGTAACCCATTGTGGGTGGCCTCCCCATCCCGCTTAATCCTGCATTATTGTGACTTTCGAGCGGTGGTGTAATCTCACCCCCACTGTTTTGGCTCACACCGGGAGCCTTGGTCATTAGGCGGATAAGGAGCTGCGGCATGGATATTGCTGCACCCAGAGACAGGCTGCTTAACAGGATTAAGGCAAAGAAAAACAGTCCTAAAGCTCAGAGGTGGGAAAGCTGCTTCCATCATAGCCTTATTTCCACTGCTAATTTCCTCAGAAGAAAAACAGGAACAGAGCACTCATATTCAGCCCAGAACCCATTGTGATTTCATGATAGGTATCTACAATGTTGAGATTTTTTTTTTAGTTTAACTCCTCCGCCTTCACTGAAGCTCCTTTTAAAAGCAGGATCTGCCTATATATCCAAAAGGGAACAGATTTCATTTGCAGGGTGAAGTTTGATGACTAATTGGAAGGGACAGCACTAAAGAATGCCCGGTCTTTAGGCTAAATTTAGGGCAAGGCAATGAGTATTATTTGCCCAAGAAAAGCCTATGAAACGGCATCATCCAAGCCAACGGGCAACTTGAAAGCACTGAGAGCTTCCTATCTGAATCCTAATTGGCTTTTCTGAAAAGTGACACTGGGTTTTGTATACAATGCTCCTCTCGCCACCTCTGCACCAGAACAGTGCACATTGGACCTACAAAAATGGCCTGCTAGCTACAGTGCTGAATATTGATGTGTAAAGGACAGCCCCAGTGTACAAAAGACACTTTTACCCTACCAATGAAAGAACAGACAGAGTAAAGAGCAAGGTTGGCATGAACAAACGTTTACTGATGTGACTTAGGCTTGGATATTGCTCTTTGCACTGAAGGCCATATAATATACCAAGAGACCAATTAAGGCTGCCAGCACCTCAGTGGAAACCCATGGTCCGTTCCAGGCACCCTGCAATGGGGGGAGAAGAAAGAAAAAACAGAAACATGTTGGTCACAGAATGTGGCTTGCCTAGAGGGGCAAAGATTATAATATAGCCAAACTGCCTAGGTATCTCCACTTCTGACCCTTCTCTGGACTCTAGAGGAAGGACACACTGCAGATGTTGCATGGATGAGAAGCATCAGAAACATAAGATAATTAGCAATGTGAGCAGATAGTGCCAAAAGAACACAGGAATGTGCATTCAGCTTAGGTGTGGGAATCATTTATAGCATTCAAGCTGTAAATCAGGGATAAGACTGATCACTGGGGTGATGCTTGCAACCGATAAGGTTCAATTCCATGAACTGTCTTCTCTTATAGAAGTGTTAGATAGCAATGCCTCATGAGGGTAACAATTCATCCAGGCCCGGGAAATCAGCCAAGGTCAACTCCGAATTATCTTCCAATTGCATTCCCTATGAAGGGACTGACACTGAGCAGGGATACCTGCAGAGGTAGAATTCAGTGCCTTCTTGGCTTCTGTCACCTCATTTTCGCTTAAAGCAATCATCTAGCTCACACATGTGGAAAGGAAATGGAAAAGTACTGCAAAACCTTAATAGCCAGTGATTCCCAGTGGTTGAGGTTTCAATGCTCACTGCAGATGATTATTCCCCCATCTCTTTATTATTTCCCAAATACTGCAGCCAATGTTACTTCACTCTTGTTAGCTTCCCCTGTCATCTTTTATGCATTCCATTTCCAAATTTACAAAACTTATTTTATTGCAGAAGACGAAAGATGGAAGACCAGTTTATATATAGCCTCAAGTGTAAGCTGCTACTAACCTTAAAATTATGAACAATTCAAAAAATGTGATCTTCCCTTTCTGGATTGTCCTTTTATGCCTGATGTACTCTCTCCTCAACTAGAACTCATAAACATCCATCCATCCAACAAGCAGAACAGGATACAGAATATTTTCCTTATAGACTGGTGACCAGCGATGGCTAGTGACAGTTTGTGTCCGTAGAACACCCTCTAACATTAAAGGCACCTATCACATGGCATTTAACATCAGTCAGAAACGGCAATAAACACCTGGTTCTTGATCAAACTGTTAAACTCCTTCCTGTCAGTGTAAGAGGTTTATTATTTATTTATTTACTTTATTTATATACCGCTTTTCTCAGCCCTCAGGCAACTCAAGGCAGTGAGCGGCTCAAGGTTCCATCCCATGCCATTTAGAACACTGAACATTTTTTGGTACCAAGAAGCAGACCTCCCTCCTATCTCTTTACTCACCCGATGATCCACACTGACTGTAAAAAGGGGTTTGATATCAGAGACGTCCTCATTGTTGCGTTGAGCCTAGGGTAAGGAAAAGATTTTGGCACTTTGGTTCACACACACATCAATTCATTTTATCAGGCTCCCCACTGTAAAATATTTCCCCAACAGATGTGGCACCATGACTATTCCTTTACAATGAACCAAATCATTAATTATGAAGGTCAGTCCAATACTGAAAGAAGGTACAGTCTGATCTTACAGAATGGCACCAGGTTTAAACATTATAACTTAATGGCAGTCAGACTTCCCTATTTGTGAGTTCTGTATCTGCAGAACCAACAAATGTGTAGATTAAAAAAAAAAAAAAGCTCTACAGAGCGTCTCATTCTCCTCCACTTTATCCAGTGGCCTTGTGAAAGGACCCTGGGGGAAGCTCTTCTGTGGCACTCTCCAACTGAGGGTAAAAAAGCCACAGAGGTGTGTCAGGGGAGAGTGAGTGGGACGAAGAGAGAACAGAGTGTCACAATGTGGTAGAAAGGCTGGGATTCACACACTTGTGCAGGAGTTGCTTTAGGGATACATTCAGGGGGTGGTGAGGCAGAAGCAATCAGGTGGCACTTGAGCTCCTTTCTCATTTTAGAGCCCTGTCACTGCGTGCAAATGGCTGTGCACACAACTTGAGAAATAGACAAGCGAGAAGCCATGGTCTGAATCTTTCCAACAACTGTTAACTTAGAAAGGAAATGAAAAACTCATCTACACATTCCCAGTGTCCACACAAATAGAGCCCCTTTACATAAAGGACTTAAGAATCTGTGGATTTTGTTATTCATGGAGGGGCTGGAACCAATCCCTTAGAGATATAGTATGCTAATTGTATTCGTCTACTAAAAAATTGGGAGTATAGTCTCAGAATAGTATCAAGAGAGTTAGGAACAATATTTAATCACGGAAGCTCTGGTCTCCAAAGGATCCTTCTAATTTGCCAAGGAAGGAAGTTTCACTCTTTGGCTCACAGACAGGAAAATGTGCAGCCTTGATTATGTTGCAATCAAGGCTGCTAGGAGTAGCAGACTAGCATTATTTGACAAGATGTACTTGAACCACTTGACTCTAGTCCCAACGTCAATATAGACTGGCTGCAACTATAATGCATTCTACGTGGGCTGTCTCTGAAGTGCTTGGAAACTTCACCAGGTCCAAATTGTTGTGGCAAGAACATTAACAAGAGCTGGCTACAGGAAGTGCACAACTCCATTGGCTGCCAGTGTGTTTCTACGCACAAGTCAAAGTGATGGTCAAGACCTTGAAAGCCCTATATGGCTTAGGTCCAAGTAATTTGGCAAATCACACCTTCCTGTACGAACCTGCCCAGGCCCTGAGATCCTTCGGAGAGGCCCTCCTCTCAGTCCCACCTCCATTGCAAACTATTAGTGGGACACGAGAGAGGGGCTTCTCATTGGCTACCCTCGAATTCCCAGGGGAGCCAGAACGGCCTCCTCCCTGCTGTCCTTTCAGTGATAAGCAAAAAACATTTTATTCAAGCACACTTTTAAAGAAGAATAATTTTACGACTGAGCCAAGGTGTGTTGTCTAACATTTATGTATTTAAATAGGTTTTAATGGTTTGAACTATACATTTTTAGATAGCTCAAGATTTCATTCTGTTTTATTGGTGTTTAATCTTTAGATTAATTATGTGTTTTATTTTTGTGGCCATGTTTGCCGCTTTGTGTCTTTTAAAGAGAAAAGAACATATAAATACAGTGACAACAGTAACTACTCACTGGTGAAGGAATAAACACTGTATGTATATATATATATATAAATCTGTCACTCCTTTCTACAGACAGATAATAACAAGAATCCATGCTAACTGGCTAGAGCACAAGGAATAAAAATGTATGACTAAGAGTAAACAATACTAACCATTTTTATGCAACCAGAGAATTCACCAACTTTAAAACCACTCTCAATTCCACATACTGACATCACAATGCAGTCTTGCCTATACCATTATTTGTTTAGGAACCTGTTTCTTTCCCTCTGCCAGGGGGTACACTCACCTTTCGCAGGATGCTGTAAGATTCCTCATCGAAGAACTTCACTTCATAAGTGCCAGAGCGGGCCAGCTTGTGCTCCATGCTCCAAGAGACCTGGCAGAAAAATGAGTATTGGGAGAGCAGTTCTAGAACATTCCCCCACTCAAGCCACTGGGGAAAGACACACACAAACACACACAGGAACACAAGCATAGATGTACTGTCCGCTTCAGTAGCCAGGGCTACAGCAAGCCAAACTAGCCAATGGTTCGGGGCAGCAGATTGGTTTAGCATGGAATACACTATGATGAATCTATAGAGTCAGACCCAACATAAATCCAAAACCATGCATTAGCCTCCCCTCCCAATTCAGCCAGCACAAGGACCAACAATTTCCCCAGCAAATGCAACATCAAATATTTTCCGTAAACCATTTTGCCAATCTAGGCTGCATACTCCAGTAATAAAAAAAACATTACTGATATATTATACTCAGCAGATACATCTTACTGTAAAATATTTCTGCTTTAGTATGAGTATGCTCCAGTAACAGTAATGCAAACAACAGTAATATGAATAAGATACAAGGGACCAATTCCAAAATGCTGTGGAAGTCCAATGAATTTGGCTTATTTTAAGTGGTTTTATTCCTAAAGTAAAATGCATGGTTCTGAAAATAATCAGAGGCGGACAGGGTTTGTTTTTAACAAAACATTAAGGCCCCTTCCATACTGCCCCTATATTCTCGGATCTGATCCCTGATAATCTTATCCCCAATTATCTGGCAGTGGAGACTCATATAATCCAGGGATCAGATCCTAGGATATAGGACAGTGTAGAAGGGGGCTTTATTGCAGAAAGGAGATTTTTAGAGATTTTAACATTATGGAGAAAAGAAATCCTCATTGTTCTCTGGACTTTCCTTCTCAATGTTTTCAGAAAAACTGAAAAATGCAGTATTAGCACTTTTACAGATTTAAAGTTACTTTATTATTACACAAAAAGCAATACTAGCTTGGATTGGCATAAATTTACTATGTTTGACAAGTGAAAATTACAACTATTCTGAAAATAACAATAAATTGAATCGACATTTAATTTTTTTTTGTTACAAATGGAAGCTACAAGATCTGAAGTGTGGAACGTCTTAACTATAAGGAGCTTTTATGGTTTTGACAGTTTTTGGGGGACATCTACTCGCTTAAAGAAAACCAAAGAAGCTATCAACATTAATAAACTGAAGAAAACTATTTTGGTTCCTGTAATTCACCACAGCACCAAGCACAAAAACGATGTAATCTATGGGCAGAATCATTCTTGGAAATAATATAAGGTGAGGTAAATGCAAGAAAACTTGTCTTAGTTATTTTGTTCATTGTTGTAAAATATTTAAGATACTGTGATTACGTTTAATTGACCCTACATTATTGTTTAAAATCATATAGCCAACGGACATTTACATAATACATTTTCCCATTTTGGATGTGTTTTTCCCATTTTTTCAACTGTCACATCTCTATGCATTTCTAAGACTTAATGCAAATCACAATATTCCAAGTATCACTATCACTAAAGATGCAAGAACACACCTTGTCCGAGGCCACCCAGATGCCACATGACTGAGCTATGACTTCAATGTTCCTTCATTATCTTCCAGTCCATTCTTTCATTAGCATTCCACTAGTTCTACCAGGAGTCACCGCTTTTTCTCACCTGATAGCGGCCAACATCCTGGCCCCTAGTGACAGGGAACTGCTTGCCGTTGACATCTGCATAGAGTGCCACATTCTACAGAAAGACAAATTATGACAAATATAACCCCAGAAAGCCACAGAACATGGTCAGATTGCTATTTTGCTTTGATCTGTGTTAACCTATCTCAACAATCAGTCTCAAACAGACAGAGAGTAAGCCTTCCCTGGCTTAAAAGGAAAACTCTGATGGGTTTAAATTTTCCCAAAATATGCTTGTAGCTCCCACTTCAGTGGCTGAGATGACAAGCCAGGTCAGCCAATGGTTCGGGGAGACAAGTTATTATGGCATGGAGTCCACTATGAGAAGTCCATGGGGTAGGACCTACCATAAATCCAAATCCATGCATATGTAGGTGTGTAGAAACTATACAACTGGAGTTCTGTCTCCTGGTATTCAGAGTTGTATCAAGGCTCCTAGACCAGAGCTTCATGCAACTTTTACACTTACTACCCTTTTTTGCCTAAGAATGTTTGAGTGACACCAGGTATATAAAATAGGCATAAAAATCAAGCATTCACTGAGAATAAATCGGAATAAGAAATGCATGCTAAACAGTCTGATTTCCTTTTTTTTTATAAAGTCCAGCTGAAACATTTTCTGCATAGATCACTGTAAACACTGCAAGTTGTTAACAGATTCGAATAAATGGATAGCATTCGGAAACCTTTTGTTGCCAGATTTTTCATACTCCAGCATTGAGCTAAGGGGACCCCATTTGGGATCAGGGCCTAGTTTAAAATGTTGTGTCCTAGACAGACCTTAGAAGAAAATGAAATAAGCCCATCATTGAGACACTTACTTGTGCTCCGTTCTTACAGGTAAGAGAAATCTCAACAACAAAGACAGACTCAGAGGAGATAACAGCATCTGAGGTAGTGTAGTAGGATGGTGAGATGACTGGTTCTGTGCATGTTTCCGCTGAAATAAAAGAAAAACAGTCTTATGAATAAAAAATGTCAGGCTAGTATTTGTAGCCATTCAAAGAATACACTTGGCCTTGGTATCCATTGGAATTTGGCTCCAGGATCTCCACGCGCACCAAAATCAGCCGATGCTCAAATCCATTTGTATAAAATGGCAAGCAAGAATATGCTGGGTGACACGGAACCCCAAGAATGCTCTGAGCTTTCTTAAGGCTGTGGGACATATAATATTCTTCCAAAGAGGGGAGTCTCCGCTGGGTCCTCTTAACTAACATTGCCGTATCAACTCAGATCCTTCTTTACAGTGACACCAGGAAACTTAAAACTGGCCACCTGCCATATAGAATTATAGAGTTGGAAGAGACCACATGGGCCATCTAGTCCAACCCCCTGCCATGCAGGAAAAGCACAATCAAAGTAATCCTGACAGGTGGCCATCTAGCCTCTCTTTAAAAGCCTCTAAGGCAGGAGCTTCCACTGCATTCTGAGGAATAGAGTTCCACTGTATTGTTGAAGGCTTTCATGGCTGGAATCACTGGGTTGTTGTAGGTATTTTTGGGATATATGGCCATGTTCTAGAGGCATTCTGCGGCATGGAATAAAATGGGCTACTGCAGTCTAGATGTAGCCCCTTAAAATGTAAAGCCCTCCAATAGACCTTCAGCACATTCAATCATACTGAAAATCCAATGAAATGTTTCACAAATAAAATAAAAACATCTGCATCTATGCATTCCCACATGGATAAGTGTATCTAAAATTCAATGGATGGTGGGGCTAATGCCAGCTCCTGGCAGAAGGGAAATCCATGGGGAATGGAGAACTTCATCCTGACCACAAGCCCCCTTCTATGACATGCATCGGAGGTCTCAGACCAAACTCCCAGCCTCCAATTCTAGCCAAGGTGACTGGCACTACCAACCAACTCTATCTATGTTCAGGCAAGGAAATTTGAGGAAAAAGGGTCAGATTTCCAAATGGTTAAAGATTCAGAGGTCACCCGACTGCAGCATGGAATAAAATGGGCTACTGTAGTCTAGATGTAGCCCCTTAAAATGTAAAGCCCTCCAATGGACTTTCAGCACATTCAATCCTACTAGGATATAGAAAATCCGATGCAAGATGTTTAACAAATAAAAATATCTGCATCTATGCATTCCCACATGGATGAGTGTATCTACTGTTCAATATGGAGTTCCTCTTAATTACAATTGGCTCCACGTTGTTGTGAGAAACCTGCCTCCCATTTAGGAGAGAAAGGTGGGTCTAAAATTCAATAAGTAACAATTTCCCACCCCCATATAATCATAATGGCTTCCAAAGACACTTTCAAAGGTGCAACCATAACACCTGAAGCATTCGGCTATTTTGGTTCGATTCTTGACTGGGTCCTTCCTGAGAATGGACTAAGGATCTATCTTCTAAGCCAGTAGTTCTCAACCTGGGGTCCCCAGACGTTTTTGGCCTACAACTCCCAGAAATCCCAGCCAGTTTACCAGCTATTAGGATTTCTGGGAGTTGAAGGCCAAAAACATCTGAGGACCCCAGGTTGAGAACCACTGTCTAAGATTTCCAAGTGATGCAAGGACCAAATCTCATCCCACCCCTTTGTACTACTTCCCAGATACTTTAATTTTCCCCACTTTTATATCTCAGTGCTTTCCTCCATTTGTCTTTGGTCTAACACAGTGGTTTCAATCTGTAGATCCTCAGATGTTTTGGCCCTCAACTCCCAGAAATCCTAACAGCTGGTAAGCTGGCTGGGATTTCTGGGAGTTGTAGGCCAAAACACCTGGGGACCCACACGTTGAGATCCACTGTCCTAGGAGGACTGGAAGACTACTACACTGAAGCTACAAATGGACCAAAGGGTGGATTTTGGTGCCCTCTGTTGTTGTTCATTCGTTCAGTCATCTCCGACTCTTCGTGACCTCATGGACCAGCCCACGCCAGAACTCCCTGTCGGCCGTCACCCCCAGCTCCTTCAAGGTCAGTCCAGTCACTTCAAGGATGCCATCCATCCACCTTGCCCTTGGTCGGCCCCTCTTCCTTTTGCCTTCCACTTTCCCCAGCATAATTGTCTTCTCTAGGCTTTCCTGTCTCCTCATGATGTGGCCAAAGTACTTCAACTTTGTCTCTAGTATCTTTCCCTCCAGTGAGCAGTCGGGCTTTATTTCCTGGAGGATGGACTGGTTGGATCTTCTCGCAGTCCAAGGCACTCTCAGAACTTTCCTCCAACACCACAGCTCAAAAGCATCGATCTTCCTTCGCTCAGCCTTCCCTAAGGTCTAGCTCTCACATCCGTAGGTTACTACAGGGAATACCATGGCTTTGACTAGGCGGATCTTTGTTGCCAGTCTGATGTCTCTACTCTTTACTATTTTATCGAGACTGGACATTGCTCTCCTCCCAAGAAGTAAGCGTCTTCTGATTTCCTAGCCACAGTCTGCATCTGCAGTAATCTTTGCACCTAGAAATACCCTATCATATTCATGTTTGTAATGAGAGGTTTCTACTTTTATCCCTAGTTTAGCTGTCCAGTGGTTCCCATGTGGACTAATGGCTACCCACGGCCGACTGCCCTTGAATGAGACTGAAGTCAAACGAGATACTGGCCCATTCAGAGTTGGCCTTTCCCCCAAGGAGCCTCACCACAAGGCTTAGAAAGCAGGTGAGGTGGGATAACAGGTCTCATTTCGCCAAATGAGCAAGCACGGGTGAGTCTAAACTCGAGGCCAGGCCTTTCCGCCTCAAATACAAACCAGGCCCGAGATCCCAAAGCCTCCAAAATTGGGAGCTGGGTTGAGGAAGCGGCCCTCAAAGGCTTCCCGAGACTCCGCCAGCAAAGCTACGGAGACAGCGCAGGGTGTGCATACCTCGCACCGCGGATAGCAAGAGCAGGGCCGGCACCAACCACAGCGGCTCCAACGCCGCCATAGCCACGCAGCGGGAAACAGAGAGAGAGAGAGAGGCGGAAAAGGCAAGCTGCCACTGTTCAACCACTTGGACCGCCCCGCGCGCAAAGGGCGTCGGGAAAGGAAGCCACGGCAGCCAATCCGCGCCGCTCCTGCTCCGGAGCGCGTGCCGCCCTCACGTGACGTGAGGGGGCGGCTCGCGAAGAAAGAAACGTGGCCTTCGCGGAAGAGTCCTAAAATGGCCGCTCGCGACTTTTGTCGCGCAAAGCAACATTCGGAGGGAGGGGCCAACCGGCTTCGTCGTACGCATGCGCAACACAGAACGGTTTCTAATAAGAGTAGTGGCCCGAAATATGGCTGCCAGGGACTTATTTGGCGCAACAGTAGCAAACCTGACAAAGAGCAATAAAATGGGAATGGCTCGCGCATGCGCAATCAGGCTAGCTTTGGGCTCATCTTGTATCTATCAGTTCTAACCCTTCCACACAGACATATAATGCAGAATTTCAAGGCAGATAATCTATATAAATAAAAATGTAATGTTCGTTTGTGGGATTAACAGAACTCAAAAACCACTGGGGGAATTGGCACCAAATTTGGACACAAGACACCTAACAACCCAATGTATGTCCTTCGCTCAAAAAAAAATTATTTTGTCATTTGGGAGTTGTAGTTGCTGGGATTTATAGTTCACCTACAATCAAAGAGCATTCTGAACCCCACCAAGGATGGAATTGAACCAAACTTGGCACACAGTTCTCCCATCACCAACAGAAAATGCTGGAAGGGTTTAATAGGCAGTGTCCTTTGGTTTTGGAGTTATAGTTCAACTACATCCAGAGATCACTGTGGACTCAAACAATTATGCATCTGGACCAAACTCTACAAGAATACTCAATATGCACAAATGTGAATACTGGAGTTTGGGGAAAATAGAATCTTGACATTTGGGAGTTGTAGTTGCTGGGATGTATAGTTCACCTACAATCACACAGCATTCTGAACCCCACCAACGATAGTATTGGACCAAACCTCCCACACAGAATCCACATGTGGGCCACAGCAACGCGTGGCAGGGGACGGCTAGTCCACAATATTTGCTTCGAACTGGGTTAGCTGAGTCCACACTGCCATATAATCCAGTTCAATGTGGGGTTCTATTCAGCTGCGGAAGGGGACTGTGATGGTAGATTATATCTACACACTGCAGTTGATCTTAGACGAAAGGCCTAGAAGGAAATGCTACAAATGCTACTTTAAGGTTCATTATATTAATATAGTGTATTAGTGTATTAATATATTACTGATGTGTTGTAATAATATAATATTCAATCATTTCCGACTCTTCGTGACCGCACAAATGAACAACATATTATATTATTACCACAGCACATCAGTAATATATTAATATATATTCATATTATCCCAAGGTACGGGCCAGCTGCGCCCGTACCTTGGGAAGTCTGACTTGGCCACGGTAGTCCATGCTCTGGTTACATCCCGCAAAGATTACTGCAACGCGCTCTACGTGGGGTTGCCCTTGAAGACTGCCCGGAAGCTTCAGATGGTCCAGCGTTCGGCAGCCAGGTTGCTAACGGGAGCGGCACTCAGGGAGCACATACCACTCCTCTGTTGAGCCAGCTCCACTGGCTGCCAATCTGCTACCGGGCACAATTCAAGGTGCTGGCTTTAGCCTATAAAGCCCTAAACGGTTCTGGCCCTACTTACCTCTCCGAACGCATCTCCACCTATGAACCGACTAGGACATTAAGATCGTCCGGGGAGGCCCTGCTCTCGGTCCCGCCTGCGTCACAGGCGCAGTTGGCGGGGACGAGGGACAGGGCCTTCTCGGTGGTGGCCCCTCGGCTATGGAATGCCCTACCTGTAGACATCAGACAGGCCCCTTCGCTGCTGGCGTTTCGGAAGAAGGTTAAGACCTGGCTCTATGAACAAGCGTTTGGCTAATCAGTGCAACTGAATATAGGAGGATGGTAAAATTTGATCTCAGGAATGGCACAAGGATTACGAGAACGGATCTGATTTCATATTGAGGCGTTATGAATTGTTAATGATTGTTGATTTAGCTGCTGTATACGATGTATTTTAATTGTTTAGGATATTGTTGTGATAGTATTGATGTTATTGTGATAATTTTCATTGTGTAAACCGCATTGAGTCGCCTTATCAGGCTGAAAAATGCGGTATAGAAATGAAGCAAATAAATAATAATAATAAATAAATAATATAAACATATAATATTGATAATATAATGTAATACAATATAGATAAAGGTAAAGGTTTTCCCCTGACTTGAAGTCCGGTCGTGTCCGACTCTGGGGGTTGGTGCTCATCTCCATTTCTAAGCCGAAGAGCCGACATTGTCCGTAGACACCTCCAAGGTCATATGGTCAGCATGAGTGCATGGAGCGCTGTTACAATATACCAGTGGTTCTCAACCTTCTTAATGCCGCGACCCCTTAATACAGTTCCTCATGTTGTGGTTACCCACAAGCAAAAAATTATTGTTATTGCTACTTCATATCTGCAACTTTGCTACTGTTATTATGTAAATATCTGATATGGTGGATGTTTTTTCATCACTGGACCAAATTTGAATACTGGTGGGGTTGCGGGGATTAATTTTGTCATTTGGGAGTTGTAGTTGCTGGGATTTATAATTCACCTACAATCAAAGAGCATTCTGAACTCCACCAACGATGGAACTGAACCCAACTTGGCACACAGTTCTCCCATGGCCAACAGAAAATACTGGAAGGGTTTGGTGGACATTGACCTTGAGCTTTGGAGTTGTAGTTCACCTACATCTAGAGAGCACTGTGGACTCAAACAATGATGGATCTGGACCAAACTTGGCATGAATACTCAATATGCCCAAATATGAACACAGATGGAGTTTGGTGAAAATAGTCCTTGATGTTTGGGAGTTGTAGTTGCTGGGGTTTATAGTACAACTACAATCAAGAGAATTATGAACTGCACCAATGATAGAATTGGGTGAAACCTCCCACACAGAACCCCCATGACCAACAAAAAATGTTGAGTTTTCTGATGGTCTTTGGCAACCCCTCTAAAACCCCCTTGCGACCCCTCCAGGGGTCCCAACCCCCAGGTTGAGAACCACTGCAATATACAATACAGTAATAATAATAATAATAATAATAATAATAATAATAATAATAATAAAATATAAGAATTATATTTTGATATTACATGTAATATTACTAATAATATTACAGTATAGTGGTATAGTGCAATATAGTAATACATAATACTAATATGGTGCTGTGTAATAAATAAGAATTCCTTACAAGTAGGCACCTTTGTTTTTCTAGACTCAAGAGCACAAGATGGGGAAAAAAGGACTCCAGGTTATCTGCCACAAAACCACATATCTGAATCCTCTCACCCCAGTTGTTGGGAGGATTCAGATGTGGAGCCCCCAGTGGTGCAGTGGGTTAAACCCCTGTGCCGGGAGGACTGAAGACCGACAGGTCGCAGGTTCAAATCCGGGGAGAGGCGGATGAGCTCCCTCTATCAGCTCCAGCTCCTCATGCGGGGACATGAGAGAAGCCTCCCACAAGGATGATAAAACATCAACTCATCCGGGTGTCCCCTGGGCAACGTTCTTGCAGATGGCCAATTCTCTCACAACAGGAGCGACTTGCAGTTTCTCAGGTCGCTCCTGACACAACAACAAAAAAGTTGTTGGGAGGAAAAGGATATCTGCACATGTCCAAAGGAACTCCTATTTTGACACAGGCTGAAGAAGGTTCAAGTCATATCTACGCTGGGAGGAATAGAGTTCAGCTCCAAGTTCAGAATCCAGCTATTTTAGTTCTTCTGCTTTCCCTTTCCTGATTTAAATTAATTTGGAGAACTACAAATCTTTAAACCTTTGTTGACTCAAAGCAGCAGCAGGAGAAATATGACATTCCACTCAAGAAATGTGGCATCGGATAAGTTCTTCGGAAATCTCAAAATGACCAATGATTAAGATCCAAGAATCAATCTGAATTCTCCCTAGACAAAATGACTCAGCTGAGACTTTGGACACATCGTAAGAAATGGAAGATGCATTGTCGAAGGCTTCCAGATGCAGGCAAAATGTTAGGAGAGAATGCTGCTGGAACATGGCCACACAGCCCAAAAAACTCACAGAAACCCAGAAATGGGTGATGTTAGAAAAGACAATGATGCTTGATAAGATATTTTTATTTATCGTGTCAGGAGTGAACCAAACAGTTGTATTGCATTAAAAAAAACCCAAACAAGCAAGCAAACAAAACACAAAGTTTGCAAACTTGGTATTCTATTAAATGTCCTTTGACCAGTAGCTGGCCACTTGGAGTGCCTCTGGTGTTGCCGCAAGAAGGTCCTCCATTGTGCATGTAGCAGGGCTCAGGTTGCATCACAGCAGATGGTCTGTAGTTTGCTCTTCTCCACACTCGCATGTCATGGATTCCACTTTGTAGCCCCATTTCTGAAGGTTGGCTCTGCATCTCGTGGTGCCAGAGCGCAGTCTGTTCAGCGCCTTCCAAGTCACCCAGTTTTCTGTGTGCCTAGGACAGAATCTCTCATTTGGTATCAGCCATTGATTAAGGTTCTGGATTTTTAGCCTGCCACTTTTGGACTCTCGCTTGCTTAGGTGTCCCAGCGAAATCGTTGTTCTGACCTTTGGTGACACTAATGTGAATCTATCACAAAGGTTCTGGGAGTGAGAGTCTGTGATTGTCCAAGGTCACCCCGTGGGTTTCTATTCCCAAATGCTGAATCAAAACAATGAATAATATACAGCCTTGCAAACAACAGTGAATTTGTTATGTCCAGTACAAACATCAACACTACTCAACATTTTAATAGCTTCTGAAATTCTAGTTATATATTCGGATGGGAATGGTTCCCATATTTGCCCATCTCTTTTTTTGGCAGCATAAGCTACAATTTAGGCACTATGAAATAAATGGATTCCACATGGCTGCAAAGTTGCCCATTCCCCTCCTCCCATCTCCTTCATTAAGCTCAAGTTTATGTGTGATGTTTTCCTGAGAGTGCTATGGATCAAACTTTCAAGCTGGGT